CAGAAGCACCTCCAGTAGCTCCAGCACCAGCAGCACCTCCAGCAGCTCCAGAAGCACCTCCAGCAGCTCCAGCACCAGCAGCACCTCCAGCAGCTCCAGAAGCACCTCCAGCAGCTCCAGCATCAGCAGCACGGCGACAGCGCCGAGCGTACCACTCACGAAGGTGCTGCGGAGAGAAGGGCTCCCGCCGTGACGGGACACCCGGAGGACCTCCAGACTCAGCACGCTCAGGCTCAGCACGCTCAGGCTCAGCACCCCCAGGCTCAGCACTCCCAGACTCAGCACCCCCAGGCTCAGCACCCCCAAGCTCCACACGCTCAGGCTCAGCACCCCCAGTCCCCGCACCCACAGGCTCAGCACCCCTAGCAGCACCTGAGTCGACAGCTACCTCGACCGGCTCGACAGGGTCTACCTGGGACACACCTGAGGGGGCAGGACCCTGAGGGGGGAGGGGGTCTACCGGAGGAGCACCTGGTGCGAGGAAGAGTGGCGGGGGAGGGAGAGAGGCAGTGCGGTAGGGAAAGAGACAGTAGTAAGATACCGACTCGTCAAACGTGACGTCCTGAGAGGACAGAACACGACGCGAGGTGGGGTGGTAGAACTGCCACCCAGGTGCGTCAGGGGGGAAGCCAAGGAAGACGCAGGGAACGGCACGGGAGGATAGCTTGTCCGCTGAAGTATCGCGGACAAAAGCTCGAGATCCCCAGACACGGAACACAGACGCATCGCCAACCTTCCCTGTCCACCGCAAAGTAGGTGTGGTCTCCGGCAAGGAGACACGAGGCTGAAGGTTGATCTGATGCGCAGCGTACTGAACCGCGAACGGCCAAAGAAAATGGGGAGCAGCCGCATGGATCATGGACGTACGAGCGACGTCCATGACCATGCCAATGCGGCGCTCAGCAATCCCATTTTGCTGTGGGGAGGCCGGAAGCATGAACGTCTGGCGGATGCCCTCCGCCCGACAGAAGGCCCTCAGAAGGTCGGAGGAAAACTCACCACCTCTGTCTGAGTGTAGACGCAGAACAGGAAGGTCCGAGCCGAAACTCTCGCTGAGCTGGCGACGGGTACCACGGATCCAGTTGATCAACACCTCAGTGACCTCACCCTTGCTGCGCAAGGGGAAGACTGTGGTGTAACGCGAGTAGTCGTCAATGACCAGCATGAAGTAATGCTTGTTACCCTGTCCATAGACGCGGGCTAGGCCCCACACGTCCATGTGGAGAGTCTGCAGGGGAGCCTCTGTCGGAGGGAACTCGGAGGAGTGAGGAGCGGCGCGCTGCCGGCCCTCGACACAAGCAACACAGGTAGGGGCAGGCCCCGGAGTAAGGGACCGGGGAAGACCAGAAACAAGGGTACGGGAGGCCATACCTCGAAGACGAGGCAGGGAGGGGTGACCAAGGCGGTGGTGCCAAAGGAGAGTCTCGTGTGACAGGGGACTACACGAGCAGGGGGCAGACGCTGGACTAGACCTGGACGCGGCAGAAAACATCTGACCAGACGCGGCTACCTGACCAGACGCGGTAACCGGAGGAGACGCAGTAGCCAATGTGTACAGACTTGACCCAGGCCAACGGGTGAACGTGGCCAGGTGGCGGCCCGTCCGAGAGCAAGTGCAGTGGGTCACACGCTGACCTCCAGGGGTGAACTGGTCAACCCACGCGTCTTGGAGGTCAGCTCCACTCACCAAGTTCGTAGAGAACGAGGGGAGGTGGAGACCCGACAACAAGCCTGACGGGGCCGCAGGACACGGTAGAACCGTGGAAGAGTGCGCAAGGACTGGGCCCCCAGAGGGGTCAGCCAGGGAGACTGCGACAGGCCGACTGAGCGGCGTGAGTATGGTGCTGTCGCGAAAGAAAGGCAGGGCCGCGACGAGCTGGGGCGGGCCGGCGACGGGCGGCGATGGGCCGGCGACGGGCGGCAACGGGCCGGGACGGGCCGGCGACGGGCCGGGACTGGCCGGGACGAGCCAGCGATGGGCGGCGAAAGGCAGGGCAGGGCCGCAGTGGGCGGCTGAGGCAGGGCCGCGACGAGTGGCGACGGGCCAGCGACGGGCGGCGAAGGCAGGGCCGCGACGGGCCAGCGAAGGCAGGGCCTCGACGGGCCGTACTAGGGCAGGGCGCTCGACGGCGCAGGTGAGGCAGGCGCGAGGCGCGCTTCGGGCAGGGCAGGAAAAATTTCGTGGTGGGCCCTTAAAAATATCGTTCCTATGAGGGAACCTGCTCAGAATACCATGTTAGAATAGTGAACGAATGAATGACTGAACTAGCAAGCAGGTGGGTACAAGTAGGAAACCTAAAAGTGTTGTACCCTATATGAACTACCCCACTACGGCCTACATAGACTATAGCATATAAGTTTGACAGCTGTTGTTTGATTGCGCAGGAGCTGCTTGCTGGTGTTGCTCGTAGAAGGACATGAAGGAGAAGAATTTCTCCATCATGCTTGGGTTGAAGCCTGCTGCTTGATTCCCAGGAGTTTCGGTTGACTCCGCAGCTGGTCTTGTTGCTGTGCCTTCCTCTGTCTGTAGGCCAGAGGTTGGAGGTGGAGTAGGAGTAGTGCCGGGAGATCCGTTGGAGGAGCTCCTCTCCTTCTGTGTTGCCATGTCTTGTGTTGTCGTAGGAGTTTGGGAAATCGATCTTGCCTTGGAGGCTCTCATACCTTGTTGGGCTGAGAATTAGCCCTTAGGATCTTTTCAAGGCTAAGATCTGGAATCAGGGCCTCAGATTCGTTTGGGGGTACACTGAGGCCTCAGGGCAGTTTTTAGGAAATCAGAATTTGCCCTGAATTGGCAGGGCTGCACAGGGTGAGGTATCCTGAAATGCCAGTGCTACATTTAGTAGTATCCATATATTTTTTGTGCTACAACTAGCGATAGGTGAAGTGTCGTAGCGGGTTAAAGGCGGGGTGCAACTTCTTAGGAACAGTAGGGGGACAAAAATGGCATGTGAGTAACTTGAATTCTATTGGACGAAAAAACTGGAAAACCAGAAGAGGACAAACTTCTCGGCTCTGAACTGCCTGGGTCAACCTCTTCCAAGCTATAATACTTTGAAGTTGAAGTTGATAGTTGGGCCACGGCTTTAAGTGACAATGCGATACGTTAAAGGTCTCCTGCTCGATTCCCGCTGGCTTCTATGTGGAGGTGCTCGCCCGTTCATATTTTAGGCCCCAAGACCCAGGAGATTTTTCTTACAGTACATCTCGCCTCAGAGCGAGATTCGACACTATCCTGACTCATCAGAGCTGAACCTACAGCCTTATCCTGAGTTTTCAGTACGCAAAATAACCGTTATACTGAAATTGCAGGACAATTATTCCTGTTATGCTGTTTTTCCAGGACTAGCACACGACACCTATCCTGAATTCAGGAGAATCAGGATAAATTATCCTGATAACTGAGGCCCTGTCTGGAATAGTAGGAATGTTGTAGTTTGCGGAAGCGTAATAAAGATTTACTTGAACCACCTTGCACTGGTATGTGAGAACAAGATAAGTTGATAATAGCAGAGAGATACAAAGCTTTTATATGATTACAAAGGAATATGAAAGGTTCTACTTTAACTGTTTCTGCTGTTGCGGTTCGATACAGTGACGACTCGGGTAACTGCTCAGTATCGAGTCAGTTATGTGTCCTTACTGTCGCACTGTATTTTTCGTCGAGTCAAAGGTCAGCGACCTTTGACCTTCGCGTAACCTCCAGCTGTTACGGTTGTTGACTCGCGTGTTGTTTCGCTGTAGTCCGCTCCGTTTCGTGTCGATACTTCGATTACTTCAGAAGCGTTAAATTACTTGTTTCCAGTTCCAACACTTGAGATCCACCCTGAGCTTTGCTTTGCTTGTTCTCTTGCTTGACTGGTCTTGTGACCGTCTGTTGTGTTTGCTCTCTCCCACTTAGCCTATGGGGGTGTGTCAAACTATATGTTTGTGTTCTCTCTAGGCTATAGTGGGTTAGCCTACAAGGGGTACAACACTTTAGGGTTAGTACTTGTACCCAACTCATTCATAGTTCATTCCTGCACTGTTGATTCTGACATGACCGTGTGTGTGAGTGCATGCGTGACCAAATGTTTGTGTGTGCAAGCGCGCGCACATGTTTACCAATTTCAAGCGAACTTGTGCTATTTATGATTTTCACTTATTTAGTACTGTAGTACTGTACTCCCTCCTCTAATATTAAAACAGATGTCTACAATCATACTCTCCTGATGTTTTGCTTAGACAAAACATATCAGAAAACAATTGCGAGGGCTTTGAAGTTTTTGCTGATGTATGGCAGGTCGTGTTTTTTTTTTGTCTGGGTTCATAATGAATGGTTCGTCTTGGTGTGCAGTGGTTTCAAGCGGTGAACTGCTACCCCATCACTGCCTCTGCATGGCACCAAGGAACGATGCTAGCCAATCACTGCCTTTGCATGCCACCAAGAAACGCTGCTGGGTCGGGGCACGATCCTGTGAGCTCTGCACCAGAGAAGTCAAATCCCGGGTTCTGTAATGTGTGGGGTGGGGTTCACGACAGGAGCAACGTAAGAGGAAGCAAATAAGGATATCGTAATGTGTGGGGTTTCAAACAACAGAGAAGCCATCCTGTCAGCTCTGCACCAGAGAAGTCAAAACCCGGATTCTGCAATGCGTGAGGAACAAGACAGGAGCAAAAGACGCACACGGGCAAACAGAGGGCGCACAGGGGAAAATGTGATGTGACCCAGCGTTTAATGGGATGAGAGGCTCAGCTTCCCAGGCAGATACGGATCCAAACTGTGGCCTTCACTCCAGATAACCCCACAGCGCTCACAATGTGCCTCCTGCTGCCTCCTACCAATGTCCACCCACCTCTATTTGAAAACGCTCCAGAATGAGCCGTCTCGACTCCTGATCTGCAGAGAAGGCACCAAGATTGTGCGCCTTGATTGCGCCTGGACTGTACCCTTCAATACAGATAACCTCCACAGCGCCCACACTGTGCCTCCTGCCCGTGCCAAACAACCTCTGTCCACCCACCTCTATCTGAAACCGTTCCAGCAAGAGCCGTCTCGACTCCTGGTCCGTAGAGAAAGCATCCAAAGTGTGCCCTTTAATGGCGCCTGGCCACGGCTTGCCCCTCTCGGCCTTTTGCAATGAGATGTGAAGCTCAGTGCCCTCTGTGGGACGCGAGAACACAGGGAGGAGTGCAGAAGTCATGCAAGTTGGTAGCAATGCTTTGGCTTTGACAACGGAACGTGCAGTTCAGAGCTCTCTGTGGGACGCAACCCACATATGGCATGATAACGTAACTTATTACTCTGAGAAGAGCAAAGAAGAGTGGGAGAAGCGAAGAGAAGGGGAAAACAGAAGGGAGAAGTGGAGAACAGGAACTGTTACTCACTAACAGTCCAGAAGCTATCTTTCACCTTCAGCGGGCCAGCTAGGTTGTAAGAAATCAGCTCAGTTCATGCCTGAACTGGAGAAAAGGGAGAGAAGCTGCTAACTCACCTATCGTCCAGACCAGAAGCTGTCTTCCACGTTCAGAGGGTCAGGAAAGTTGTGATCAATCAGCTTAGCTTACGTGCGAAATGGATAAGGGGAGAGAAGTTACTAACTCACCTATGGTCCAGAAGCTGTCTTCCAACTTCACAGTCCCGGCTAGGTCGTGCTGGCATGTGCTCAAGAGAAAGGCAGAGGGATGAGGGGGAAGGGGAGAATGTGAGAGGGGAATTGGATGTGAGAGGGGGTGAGAGGAGGTGGGAGTAGGTGAGAGCAGGTGAGAGCAGGTGCGAGGAGGGGAGAAGAGGGGGCATGAGAGGACGCGAGGGATAGTAAGCAGAGGAAATAGGTCGAGAAGAGAGGATGCGAGCACAGGGTGCCAACAAAGTATGCGAAAAGAGGATGAGAGTAGAGGGTGAGAACGGGTGATGATAAGAGAGGATGAGAAATGCAAAAGCGACAAGCAAACCGGTGAAAGGTAGGCCTAACAAGCTGCTGAGTAGTAGTATAATAACCACAGAGGAACGCACACAATTATCCCGAAAATCCGTGAATCGAGTTTAAAGACGTCTCAAAACTCGACTACTGAGTAGTAACCACAGATGAACGCACACAATTAGCCCGAAAATCCGTGAATCAAATCACACATGCGAAACATGGTGCAATCACTCACACAAAGCCATTCCCTGATGTGGCTTTGTGGTAATCAACAACACTAATATGGCTGTCCAACACTATATACCTAATGGGCCGCAATGGTAATCACAAGCACTCATGGTAGGTACTAATTGACCATATCATTCACACTCAAACAGCCTAGCAACCAAACGTTAGTAGGGCGGATTGCCCTTGATGCTGACTGTGATGTGCCATCACACGCACCACATAATAACCCTTTCATGTGGCGTCATGGTTTAGGGTTCAAGGTTCAGCGTTTACCCTAAACCCCATCAATCACAGTTTCACTTACATACATGTAAATCAACCACATCGTGACCCTACTGACGCCAATAGGTGGTTCAACAAGCATACATACGTCCAAGTAAGGCGGGTTGCCCTTGATGCCGACCGTGACGTGCCGTTGCGATATTTGGCATGTGAAAAGTTTTGCGGGCACTCCTTCGGGCAGCGGAACGAAAATCTCTATCTCGTCAACTGTCTGGTCCCACTCGTAGACGGTTTGGCCTATGGGGTTCAAAATGGGAGGGAGAAACAATTAGGAATATGAGGAAGACAAATGGGATGGGATGGTAGGGGTTCATGCTTTTCTCCTCGCAGAACGCAACCCGTCTGGTTCCATTCACAGAACCTACATGGCCTATGGGGTCAAGAACGGGAGGGGAAATTCACAAGCGGGGTGTGAGGAGAGCGTGTCGCACGGACACTTGTTCTTTTCCGAACGGAAAAAAAACCCCTCTGGTTTCAACCATGTACGGTTTGGCCTGTGGGGAGGAGACTGTTGAAAGGAAAGGGAAAAAATCATGCAATATCTGTTCTGAACATGCGAAACGCACTCATTGGACTAGAACTTGACTGTTGAGACGTCACAGAACCACCAGCAGCTCGCCTCTTCCAATGCAGCATCCAAGCTGGATAAAAAACGTCATAGATCTCACCGATGTGGACGACTTATAAGCTTTAAATCTCACCTTTGTAAACGAACCGTTTATCCGGAGCGAGCCTGTCCGACATGGCATCACCTGCTGCTGGTAGTGCTGCCGCTCATGGTGATGCTGCTGGTGATGCTGTTGCTTCATGCTTCATCTCACACATCTCACTGTCTCACCGTTGTGAACGAACTTGAACCGCTTGTCCGGAGCGAGCCTGTCTGACATGGCATCACCTGCTGCTGATACTACCGCTGCTGGTGCTGCTGCTGATGCCGATGGTGATGCCGGTAGAAGTGCCGCTGCTGATGGTAATGCTTCTGCAGTGATGCTGTTTCTAAGCCAGCGAATTGTCACTATTAGCAATAATCATCCTCCCTACAATGGCGCGCGATTTAATTCCTGTAAAAATCGCCTTTCCGCAAACCTATGAAACAAGAGCGCGGCGACGTGGCTACGAAATGAAACCGCGAACCTATGTTACTACTAACTTGCTACGAAACTATGAAATCAGCATCCGCACCCGCCGCTGAACCCGTACGAGTGATCATCTGCGGTCGCTGTCTGCAGGCTTCTTGACCAGCGAGTCAAGTATGGGATGCAAGGGCTCTGATTGTGCCCTCATCGCCAAGTTCAAGAAATTTCCAGAAAACAATTGGGGAGTAGAAACGCGAGAAAGGCCGAAAAGGGAGTGAGTTGGCAAGCGCAGACCAGATGTGTTTTTGGATTGCTATTCCTTACTGCGACCGTCAACATCGCGTACAGCACCAGCCTTTGTTCGCCCCTTACCGCTAACGGGGCTTCGCCAACTTCGCGCGCACTGTTTCACCAAACCTCACACTGCTGGAGCAGCCGACTCGGCCTACGCTTCGGGACTAGCCCGTCGCGCCAGCGTAGCACTAGCTAGCTCGCACGCACCACTTACCGTTTGCACATTTCGCGTATAAGTTTTCGCTCATGCCTTCGCTCATACTTTGTACTCATTGAACACTCTAGTGCAATCCTCGTTACCTCGATTCATTGCACCCGTAACACGAAGCAACCTATTACGATCGATTTTGCCAGTTTTTGTTTTCCGATTTTCACATTTTATTTATTTAATTAAAATAAAATATGAAAATAAAAAATCTGGATGCACTAAATGTTAGTTACGTAACCTGTAGCAGGTCCTGTCTAGTTCAATTATACTAACATAGTAATTATTTATGTGATTTACTTTGTTGTGATTTACTACTGTATACCGGTAATATGCACATAATATGATGAGATGAATATAATGATTGGTGAACATAGATGAATATCATGATATTATATGAAATACTATATATTGTGTAAGATATTATGTGATAAATGATGATTGCATGTCTTTTGTTCGATACGAATCATACATTCAGGCCCTCAGATTGGTTTTGGGCTAATCTGAAAATTCAGAGTTTGTACATGACTTCACTCTGAAAATCAGAGTTTTTCCTGTAGAAATACCACTGCACACTAGAAAAAATCACATTTTTCCCGTTTTTTCTATTAAAAAAAGGCTGCTTTTTCAGAGTTCACTTAAAAAAAAAAGACTCAAATATCAGAGTTTTTAAGGCAAATCAGAGAAATTTCTCTGACTTCTGTGGGCGTGCGTGTCAAACATATATGCTTAGTTGCATCTAGGCTGTATGGGGGCTAGCTTTAGGGGGTACACAATTCTTATCAACATTCTACTTGTACCCCCCCCTCTTTCCTAATGATCCAATTCTCGTCATTCTCGATACTCTCTAATATGGTATTAGAGTCGGCTACTATTGGGCCCACCACCTGCTACTTTGTTCCTAGCCCCGCGCGGCCGCGCCCCGCCCGTACCGCGCCCGCGATAGGCCCGTACCTAGCCTGTGTCAGAATGTGATGTTTGTGTAGCCTGCAGTGGGGTACTCTATAGCGAGTTCAGCCCGAATTAGGGTTTGCTATATGTACTGAACTGCATGCTAGTGAAAACCCCTCTTTCCTGTTTGCTGATTCTGCCTAGCATTTCAATATGGTATCAGAGCAGGTCGACCCTCCTGGGTCGATCCTGTGGGTGGGTCCCACCCGATGCTTCCGCTGCTCTACTGCTTGTAGCGCGCCCCGGGCGCGTGCTGTTTCCTGCCTGCCGCGCGCTCTGGGCGCGCAGCGATTGCGCGCGGCGGTTTTCTGCCCCGTCGAACCGTCGCGTCGCCCCCCGTCGCCCGATGCGGCCCGCGCGACCTGCGCCAGGCCCGCGCGCGGCCCGTACGGGCTGCGCCAGGCCCGTGCGCGACCCGTACGGGCTGCGCCAGGCCCGCGCGCGGCCCGTACGACCTGCGCCAGCCCAGCGCGCGGCCCGTACGGGCTGCGCCAGGCCCGCGCGCGGCTCAGGCAGCCCGCGCGCGGTTCGTACGGGCTGCACCAGGCCCGTGAGCGGCCCATACTGTCTCCCCCCTTGCCGCACGCCGTCCCCCGAGCTCCTGACTGCGCCCCACCCCCGCTGCTGCCTGCGTTCCTGTGTTAGGGTTTGGGGGTGGAGAGTATGGGGGTGCCGTGTGTGTGGGCCGTCCCCTTCTCCTCCTCCTCCTCCGTCTCCCACTGCTGCAGCTGCCGCTGAGGGGGGTGGATGTGTTGGAGCCGTCGGAGTCGTTCGAGGGGGGTGGCGTGTGAGCAGTGCTAGAGGTGCAGCAGGGAGTGTGTGAACGGGGTGTGGGACAGCTGGGGGAGGTTGACCGGAGGCAGCCGACTTGTCGTCCGCAGCGCCTGAAGTCCAGAGAGCCACGACCCCCAGTAGCCTGAGTAGTCCGGGGCTCTGCGCCCGGTAGCCACAGTGTGAGCACTCCTGGTAGTCCAGAGAGTTTTTTTTTTTTTTTTTTTTTTTTTTTGGGCGTCCAGAGAGCCACGACCCCCTGTGGCCTGAGTAGTCCGGGGCTCTGCGCCCGGTAGCCACAGTGTGTGCACTCCTGGGAGCACAGTGAGCCAGCTGCGCCTGTCGCCGTGTAGTCCGGGTTTAGCCTGGTAGCGACAGTGCTGCGCACTCCTGCTGCCTGTGTGTCTGCAGCTTCAGCCGTCGCCTCCCATCTTCTCGCCCTCACAGTTTCTCCTCCTCCTCACTTGCCCTCTGTGACTGCCTCTAGCTTTGCTTATACTTGTGAACTACTACTTTGCCTGCTTGTTGTTTTGATTGTACCCCACTTTGACTATGGGGGTGTGTCAGAATGTGATGTTTGTGTAGCCTGCAGTGGGGTACTCTATAGCGAGTTCAGCCCGAATTAGGGTTTGCTATATGTACTGAACTGCATGCTAGTGAAAACCCCTCTTTCCTGTTTGCTGATTCTGCCTAGCATTTCAACAGCCTGCGCCCGGCCCAGTCTCCTGCCCGCGCCTGGCTCGTACCTAGCCCGCGATAGGCCCGTACCTAGCCCGCGCTCGGCCCTATCTCACGCCCGTGCCCCTAGCCCGCGATCGCCCCGTCGACACCCGCGCCCGGCCCCGTACCTAGCCCGCGCCCCGTCGACGCTCGCGACCAGCCCGTACCCAGCCCGCGACCCGGCCCCTTACCTAGCCCGCGCCCTGTCGACACCCGTGCCCGGCCCCGTACCTAGCCAGCACCCCGTCGACACCCGCGCCCGGCCCCGTACCTAGCCCGCGCTAGGCCCCATTCCTAGCCCAGCGCCCGGCCCCGTACCTAACTCCGCGCCCGGCCCTGTACCTAGCCCGCGCCAGTCGACGCCCACGCCCGGCCCAGTCCCCCGCCCAGCGCCCGGCCCCGTACCTAGCCCCGGCCCGTCAACACCCACGCCCGGCCCCTTGTTTGGCCCCTCGGCCCCGTGTGTTTGGCCCCTCGGCCCCCCCCTAGGCCCCTCGGCCCACATTCAGGCCCAGCGCCCGGCCCCGTACCTGCCCAGCGCCTGGCCCCTTTCCTAACCCGCGCCCGGCCCCGTACCTAGCCTTGCGCCCGGACTCGTGTGTTTGGCCCCTTGGCCCCCCCTAGGCCCCCCGGCCCCTTGTTTGGCCCCTCGGCCCCAATACAGAGCCCAGCGCCCGGCCCCGTACCTGCCCAGCGCCCGGTCCCGTACCTAGCCCGCGCCCGGCCCCGTACCTAGCCCTGCGCCCGCCCCCCCCCTTGTTTGGCCCCTCGGCCCCGCCCCTAGGCCCCGTGTGTTTGGCCCCTCGGCCCCCCCCCTCTAGGCCCCCCGGCCCCTTGTTTGCCCCCGCGGCCCCTAGGCCCCTCGGCCCCAACTCAGAGCCCTGCGCCCGGCCCCTTGTTTGGCCCCTCGGCCCCGCCCCTCGGCCCCTTGTGTTTGGCCCCTCGGCCCCCCTAGGCCCCCCGGCCCCTTGTTTGGCCCCACAGCCCCTAGGCCCCTCGGCCCCAACTCAGAGCCCTGCGCCCGGCCCCTTGTTTGGCCCCTCGGCCCCCTAGGCCCTCCCCGACCCCCCGGCCCCTTGTTTGGCCCCTCGGCCCCCTAGGCCCCTCGGCCCCCCTAGGCCCCCCGGCCCCTTGTTTGGCCCCTCGGCCCCCTAGGCCCCTCGGCCCCCTAGGCCCTCCCCTGGCCCCCCGGCCCCTTGTTTGGCCCCTCGTCCCCCTAG